CTCAGCGAGAGCGAGCGCGCCCGCAGCGCGGCGTACACTCGCTTCCACTGGCGCAGGCCGCCGCCCGCTTTCTGCAGGGAGACACGGGGTGGGGGAGACACAGGGCAGTGAGAGGCCAGGCCAGCCCACAGCCCCAGAGTCCAAGGGCCCAAGAAACAGTAGGCAGTGGACAGGGGTGGGGACGGAGTCCACTGGCCGCCAGAAACCCCACCAGCTCCACCCCAGCCAAAACTCATGCAACTCCTGTCCACAGCTCCTCACATGCCATGCCACCCCACCCATCACCCCACAGCCCCAGGAACCCTGTCTCCAAACTCCAAATCCCAGCATCAACACTGCCAGGTGTGGGCAATGCCCCAGAGACCCAGCAGGGGTGCAGGGAGGCCCCTGGGGCTTCTAGACAGTGTGACCACCTTAAGTGGCATTCCCACAGAGCCCCTCCTGTCTGCAGCCCTGCACACAAGCTGTCCACACCCTCGGGGGAATGCTCTCTCCACTTCAGCACTTCCCACTAGACACGGCTCATCCCTAGCCTGGAAGCTGCTTTCGGGGTCACCCAGGACCACATGTTGCTAAAGCCAGAGGACACTTCTAGGCCCTCGTCCTGACCCCTTGGCAGCCTGTGTCAGTTGGGCTAGAGAAGGGGCCCTCCTTCCCCTTCCACACCTTCTCTGGGCATCGGGGACCCGCAGTGCCCGGTTTTCATCCTAATTCCACTGCTCCCTCCTGGTCTCCACTCCTGCCCGTCCATCCATCCATCCGCTACCTCTACACCTAATGTTCTCAGGTGAGGCCCCCAGAGGACACATGTCTGGATTCACCTGGTGGGGACACTATGGCATTTAGCAGGTAGGGGCCACAGATGCTGCTAAGCAACTCTCCTCCCCCATGCTCAGGACAGCATCCACAACAAAGAACCATCAGGCCAGAGGGTGGGTGGAGCTGTGGGTCCCCTCCCAGCGAGGAGCTCTGGAGCCCTAGTCTGCACTGCTTCCTCCTTGCCTGGCTCCAGGCCCGTGACCTTCGACCTGGCCCACCTGCTGACAGCCCACCACTCCACCCCGCCAGCTGCCAGCTGCGGTCAGGAGCCTCCACTTGCCTGTCCCCTGGGCACTTCACACACAGCTAGCTCACTAAGGCACAGGAGTCCCGCCACCAAACCTGTTCTCCACCCCTGCCCCCTCTTTTCCAGTCAGTCAGTCCACCCAGTTGCCTGGAAACCGGGGAGTTGCCCTGGACTCCTCCCTTTTCCCCACCCTTGACATCCGACCCATCAGGAATTGACAACTGTTCCGTGTCCAAACAGCACCTGTCTCCATCCTTCCTGCTGCCACCTTGTCCATGCCACCAATGCCGCTTGCCCGGACAACGGCCCAGGCTTCCCGGTGTCCACTCTCGCCTCCTGCAGCCCATTCTCCAGCCAACGGTGGCCATGATCACATTAGAATGGGAAGGAGAGCACGTCTCTCCTCCGCTCAGCATCCTCTCATGGGCTCCCAGCGCCATGAGGTCGAATCTAAGGTCCTCTGGGGTTTGGTCCCTGCTTCTGCAGACGGTCTCCTCTCCCACGGTGTCAGGCCACAGGGCCTTTGCCAGCGAACAAGTCAGGCCTCTCCCTCAGGGCCTTTGCCGCGCAGTCCCTTCTCCCCAGAGCCCCCCTCATCTCTTTACGTGGCTATCTTACTCTCCCTTCAGACCTGGACTCCAGCAGCTCCGGTAACACTTTGGCGAGACCCTCTCTGACCACTTTTTTCCTAAAGGCGGCTCCCCCTTCCCTGACTCGGAGACGAGCACACCGCCCCATTCATTTCCCAAGTGCTCACTGCAGTCTCGGCCATCCTGGTTACGGATTTCTCAGGGTCAGGGAGCTCGTCCGCCCTCTTCCCCGACCCCAGAGCCGACAGCTAGGTCCGGCCAGAAGCTCCACACTTACTGAGCTAACGACTGATGGTTACTGATGCTCCGCCGAGTGCCCACAGGCGCGGGCTCCACCTCCCTGCTGGACCAAGGCCTCCTGTGTGCTGGCTGGAGGCCCACACACTACTCCCCACCCAGCTCTGGCCTCTGCCCTCAGAGCAAGCCGGGGAGGGGCTCTGAGCTGGCCTCCTGGGGAGCTGATCCTGCACTGCCCACCAGCCCTGCCCACCATCACAGAACTGCCGGGGACCCAGGGCCCTTGAAAGAGCATTCTGGGGTGGCAACAAGGACACCCTCTGCAACTAAACCAGCTGGATGACCCTGGATGAGTTAAGTCCTCTCCCTGGCAGCAGGGTCCCTTGCTGGTAAAATGAGAGGTAAGTAGTCTCCAAGGTGGCACCCAGATCAAAGGTCAGGTCTGTGGCTGCAGGGACATGTCACACACACTGCCCCCTCCTCTGCCCGGCAGTCAGTAGCCTCTGAAAGCAACTGAGGGCTGGGAGAGGGCAAGGGTAGGCTTGAGATCCTAGAGCAGATGGCATCTGGGTGGTAAGCAGGATGCTGGACCAAGGCCTGAGGCTGACTCAAGGACCCTCCTCTAACAGCCAGGCCTCAGGATGGAGGGATGAGTGACACTGGGTTTGGCCAGCCGAGAAGTGGAAGCCCCCGTCCTCCTAGCAGGCAGGAGCCAGCTCCGGTCCCTGCCCAGGAACTCTGGCGCTAGGCCTCTGGGGGACGCCCAGATCTAGAGGATAGGCTACCTGGCTCTCACAAGGACCCTCCAAGTGCTTCCGGCCTGGACTGACTCCCCTTGTTCAGCTCACACAGCTGGCCGCTGGCCGCCCCTCCTGGTTAGTGCATGGCTGGCCCTCGCTCTGGTCTCCACTGCCAGCCTCAGCTCCCAGCTGAAGCTTACTTCCTCTCAAGGCTCAGCGGGTGCCCTGCCTGCTCCCTCATGCTCCCACACCTGAGGCCACAGGTGCCCATGGCTGAGGGACAAGACCCTCCCCGGGTGGGCCTCCCCTGAGTGCCACTCCTTCAGAGCCTCTGAGCCGGGACAACTCAACCGGCATTATGGCCTTCACACGGTCCCAGCAAGACCCCTCAGCTTCCTCCCCACAAAACTGCTCCTCCCTTGGGACCAGCAGTTAGTGTAATGGCTATATCGCTGGACTCCCATGTAGTTGACCACAGTTTGAGTCTGGACCCGGTGGCTTAAACTCACGCCGGGCGTGTATGCGTGCAGGCCCAAGATCCCGAGAGGAGAATGGAGAAGGGATTGCGGCGTGACCATCCCCCCTGGAGGGTGATTTCTCGCTTTCTCTCTGTCTCTTTCTGTCTCTCTGTCTCTTTCCATCTTTCTGGCGAGCGCACGCGCCCTATAGCAAAAACCTCTGCAAAAAAACAAAACAAAACACCTTCTCCTCCCTGTGGCCCAGGGGAGGGTCCCATGCATCCGCTTTCTCTTCTTTCTGTCTCTCTGTCTCTTTCCATCTTTCTGGCGAGCGCACGCGCCCTATAGCAAAAACCTCTGCAAAAAAACAAAACAAAACACCTTCTCCTCCCTGTGGCCCAGGGGAGGGTCCCATGCATCCCACAGCCCAACCTAGGAGCCTAGGAACCAGGTCACCCCCTCCTCCTCATGTGCTACCAGCAAGCTCAGGCTACCCTTCCCCTTGCCTCTGTCTTAATGGTCACCTCCCCTAAGCATCACGCCACCACCTTTGCACGTCCTGTCCCCGCCTACTTGCACAACGCGCTGCCACCTCCTGTCACAGATGTGACACTGCCCCCTGGTCTCACAGACCTCCCGATCCCTGGTTAAAAGCCTTGACAGGCTCTCCATGGGTGGCGAGCCCACGTGTCTGGCAAATGCCCAACTCCCCCTCACCTTCCACTCCAGGCACCCTGACTTCTAGCCTCCCCGCAGTCCCCTCTGATCCTCCCAGAGAGTGACTCCCCATCAGGCCACTCTCCTCCCTCCTTCTGCCTCCCTGCTTCCTGGGTGCTCACCCGTCATGTCTCCGCCTCTGGACACCCTCTCCCCCAATGCCACCCCACGCTGCTCTGGCCCCGAGCGCCCCATCACACGGTGCACACTTACAGTGCCTGTGCGGCCCACGTCCTGATGCTTGTCAGGAACCCAGAGGGCAGGCCCCGCCCGGCTCCCTCACCACTAATCCCTGAACCTCCACGGAGACGCCTAAGCTGGGTACAGGGAGGTTAGTCATCACTGGCCGAGGGGTGCCATGCCCCCCGGCCCCACAACCTGCCCCGTGCCCCAACAGCTTTGGGAGTAGAGTGACAGTGCCCCCACCATGCAGGCCGGAAATCAGGGGGTGCCTGAAGCTCTACGGGTACATGGCTGGGCAGGAGCTCAGGGTCTGTCTGCATCGAAATGTCTGCTCCTTCTCGGCCCCGCCAGCCCCACAGAAGGCAGGCAGAGTGTAATCGGCGGCCGGCAGAGGCCAGCAGCTCCCAGCAGCTCCCAGCAGCTCCCAGGTACCAGGCCCCGGGGAAAGGCCTTACTTAGATCATCTCATTTAATCTGCAAGAGGCTTATGAGCCAGGGATTACTGCTAACTCAGTTTACAGACGAGGTTACTGAGTCAGAGCAGGCGAGTCACCCAGCGCTCAGCACAGTGAGGAGTCAGGCCCAGGTTCGTCCAACCTGCTCTGCCTGGCTCCGTCTGGGCTGCTCAGAGCAGAGCGGAGGAGCCGCAGAGGCCACCTGGCTCACCTCCCTCTTTCCCAGCCCATGGCACTAGCCATGGGTCCCGGGCCCCCTTTTTTCCTCTTCTGGATCCTGCTTGTCTCGGCCCCCTGCCCCACCTTCTCCTCCCTTCCCCCAGTCCCGAGCCCCCTTCACCTCTCACCTGGGTCTCTGGTGGCTCCTACCCGGTCTTCTCACGCCTCAGTCTGGCCCCTCCTTCGCTCCCAGGAAGCCCCGTGTTTTAGCTGGGATCCCTCCCAGAAGAGCCCTCGGGCTGCCAGTTGCCTTAGGATGGAGACGGCACTCTGGGCTGGCCTGCAAGGCCCTGGAAAGGCTGGCCTCTGTTTCCTCATGGGCCTCAGCCCCCCTGCGACAATCGCCCTGGCCTGCTCCCTCATCCTCTATGAGCCTCAGTGGGATTCATGGGGGGATGGTTTGGTCGGAATGTCAAGCAGTGCGTGCAACAGCTCCTCCCCTCGGTCAAAGATCACCACTCTTGTCAACTCCTTTTTACGAGTGCTTTAAGTGCAACCAGGAAGTTCTTCTTAGCATCTAACCTCTAGCTCTCGCGCTGCAGCCTAAGCTGGTTCTCTGGCTGCAGAGCTGTGGGGTGGGTAGAGAAGAAGCTGGAGTGTTCAGCTGGAGTCGGCTTCCATCTGCCCCACATCTTACCTTCCCCTTCTTGGTGAGGATCTGCTTATAACACAGCCAGCCTTCTCTCCGGATATCACTGAAGGTCGCGTCCGAGAGGTCAGAGGTCGAGTGTCGTTTAGAAGGCGCATCAGCATCTTCGGAGGCACCCCAGCTATCCAAGGACTGCAGGGAGACAGTGGGGGGCAGCTTAGGGCGGCTCCCACAGTACCACCATCTCAGGAACCCCATGGACCACTTGCAACCACACGGGCCTGGTGTACACCTGTACCACACTCCAGTGTGCTGTGTGACCTCCTGGGCCTTGCTTGCCCTCTCTGGACCATTTGTGTTGAGATCATGAGACAGAGACAGACATAATGGAGAAGCCAGAAAGGAGGAAAGGTTATGACCTGCCAGCAGACCACATGCCTCACCATGTTTGAAGAGCCAATCTGAGCCGTCCTTTAACTTTATAGACTCGAAGGGATTAAGGAAACAGAGGAAGTGGTGGTGTCAACAAGGAGTTAAATAAACAGGGGAAGCGGAAACATCAACAAAGACTGAGTTAGGGGAGCAGGTGGCCAAGTCCACAGGAGCTAAACAGAGGAAGCAATCGTGTGGACAGGACTCCAGGACAGAGGTGACATGGGAGAGAGTTAAGTAAGCAGAGGAAGCGCTCAAGAGCAAGCCAGGTGATCAGACCATCGAGGCGTTAAACTGACTGAAGAACCAAGGACTCGAAATCTAGAGAGCTTTTCCAGTCCACCCACTTTTTTAAAAAAATAATTATTTTATTTCATTTTATTCATTGTCATTATTTTATTTTATTTTGAAGTTGACCAGAGAGAAAGTGAGAAAGCAAGCTGCCAGGTCCAGGACTTGAACCATGGTTGGCCATGTGGGAGTCCAGCCACCTTACCCACCACACCACCTGCTAGCCACCTTAAGTCCACCCTTAATCAAAGAGTGGAAGCCATTGTAGATCCTGTCTCCACAGGCCCTGAGGCCAGAAACTCCAGCCTCCCCATCAGTCTCAGCACTGCAGCCACCTCCTTTCCATCGAGCCCCCGTCCCCAAAGACATCATGCAATCACCGGCTAGTGCAGCATGGCTTAGGCGTGGGGAACCCACAGTGAGCAAAACCAAGAAGAACCCCGTGGCCAGCTGTGATGACGCAGCAATAATGCAATGCTCTGGGAATAGCAATACCCAGAAGGTCCTGGGTTCGCGTCCCCAGGCCTCCCTACACATGCCAGGTGTGTGCCTGTAATGCTGGCCGGCTGAGGCTGGGGGTGGGTCATGACAAGAAGACCTCCATTGCAGTGCCCCTCTACTTTCTGAAGAGACAACTAAACTCAGAAAAGAGGGAAAAAATGGCCATCCCTGTGGCCTGGTGGTTAAGGGAACCAGATCCCACATGGTCGACTACGTGGTTTAAATCCCAGCCCCAGTGGTTTAAAAATCATGCATGTGTGCATGTGTGTATGTGACCCAAATCTCAATAAGATGAAGAAATGGAAGAGAAGCGATTGTGTGGCCTGACTATGCCCCATGGGGGTGCTCCCCTTACCTGTCTCTGGCAAGTGCATGCACCCCTGATAAATCAAAAGAAAAAAGGAAAGACGGAAAGGAAAACAAGAAAGAAATTCCTGCCTTCAGGAAGCTTACACTCTTGCTGGGGAGAGGGCTAGAAAAAAGATGAGCACGTAGACCGTGTGGCATGAGGTACAGAGGGCGAGAACACCAGGTAGCAATGGCAGACAAAATGTCAGGAGTGGGGGCCGGCAGGTGGCATGGTGGTTAGAGGTGCTGGACTCCCACAGGGTTCAAGCCTTCCATGGTTCAAGTCCTGGACCTGGTAGCTTGCTCCCTCTCTCTGGTCAAAACTGAAAAATAATGATTAATAAATAATTATTTTTAAAAAGAATGTCAGGAGTGGAAGCTGCAATTTCAGAGAAGGCCTAAAAACACCATAGGACCAGCAGGTGGCGTGGTAGTTAGAGCCCTAGACTCCCACATGGACAACTATGGTTTGAGTCCTGGACCTGGTGGCTTGCTTTCTCGCTTTCCCTCTGTCTCTCTCTCTCTGGTGAATTAAAATAATAATAATAATAATAATTCATTCTTTTAAAAAAAATAAATCATGACAATAAATAGATAAATAAATAAATGTTAAAGGAAAAAAGAACCCACACCAAGTGAGTGACGTGACTATGGGACAGGCTAGGAGGGGGCACTCCAGACTCGGGGCGGGGTGAGGGCAGCGATAGTGGGGACAAGTGCGAAGACTGTTGCCAGAGGCAGCCAAAGAAGAGTGAGTCCCGTGGTGGACATGAGGGTGGTGGGTGCAGGAGAAGAGAGGACCCCGGGGGCCACGCCCTCTCCCTCGTGCGATCGCAGCTCGCTCACCCCGTCAGTGAAGAAGCTCCGCAGCATCCGCAGGCTGGGCACTCGGTGTGGCAGGCGCCTGGGGAGCGAGGCCGGGGGTGAGGGGCACGGAGCGCAGCTGGGTCCCTGCTCTCGTCACCCTCCGAACCTTGAGGCCCGGAGGCCTTCCAGGAGCTCCCTGGCCCACGTGCGGAGGCCCCCAGGGCCAGGAGCCCAGTGGCAGGGGCCC